TTTTTAAACATCAGGTTGCAGTCTTAATCATAAATAAAAATTATTCTGTCACTAGCACTGCAACTTATTAACTATTTTCATACCATACTTTTTCTGCTACATAATTTTGATATTTGTAATGAACTAGAGGTGTTGAATATTCTGGAAAACATGATGAAAATTCTGAAGACCTTTCATGCGGTCATGTAGAATAACTTGTGTATCTGACTTTTTCATTCACCACTGCTAAATTTTTATATTTATAAAACCATTGGAAATTTGCAGAAAACTTCAGCTGCTGCTGAGAGTTTAATCTTGAATAGGATTCTACAGATCACAAACATATCACCTCACAGGCTTTAAAGAATTGGCCACTTCGTGATCTGTTTTGTACATATATTTAAATGATATATGAAACATTTGAAGACACTGAATATTACAGTATGTAGGCATTTGTCTAAACATTTTTTGAAAGATCCTTTGTTACCAAATCAGTGTGCTGATTTACTGTGTATATAGTGTCAAATGTTCTGCCCCACCTACCCACCGCCTCAGGATATTTCTACACGGCCTGTGGAAGCAGCGAGTCTCTGAGCCCCGGTTGACAGACTTGGGCTTGCGCTATTGCGCTGCAAATAGCTATGTAGATGTTGCAGCTCTGTCTGGAGCTTGGACTCTGAAGCCTAGAGAGGAAGATGGGCTTCAGAGCCCAAACTCCAGCCTGAGCCACAACCTCTACTCAGCTATTTGTAGCACCATAGCATGAGCCTCGTGAGCCCGCATTCTGAGTGTCCCTGTTGTGGGCTGCTGCTCGCTGTGTAGACAATACCTTCAATTATAGTTAACTCTGCAAGGAGCGGAAAGAAAATAGAAATGTTCCCCCTTTGCTCTTACACTTCTGGAGTAACTTGCAGGTGGCATTATTTATTAGAGTAGGACATGCGGAGTCAAAAGAATTAAGTTGTAGTCCCAGCTTGTCCACTGATTCAGTATCAGAGCTTGGGCAACTCACTTAACTTCTCCCTGTCCTGCTTTCCTCATATGTAAAATGTGATACTTACCCAACTTTGTTAAGCCTTATCCAGTGCTTTTCATCTGATGACTTCAAAGTATTATTTTTTGCTTATTTACTAATCCATGTAAAAGGTTTTTACAAAGTGCTCCAAGCAAGGGAGAGCTTTGTGGTCTAGGCATCAGTTTTGGCCCAGAACTATTGGACCTGCAGGTTCAAATCCTGAAAGAATTGAACTAGTCCTTCCATCTTGTGAAGAAAATTAATAAAATTCCATTGTTTGCTGTCCAACAGTCCATCGGACAAACATCGAAAACAGAGGTGCTTTCTATTCTTGTTGGATATTAAATATCCATTTGATTTGCCTCATTCTACTAAAACTAAATATCTCTTCTGCTCACTGTTGTGTAGAGCAATGTGTGCCAGTTGTCCTGGTTGCCACACAGATTCTAAGGTAATGGGCAAAGTATAAAGATCTAGGTAGACAGTGTCCTTCACCCCAGAGAGAGTAGCATGGTGATAATGAAGCTTTACGTAGGTAGCGGGTGAACCATTTTTAGATCTTTTGGAAGGCCAGGTGTTAAATACATGCAAAATATTATTTTCTCCACTCTTTGAAAGGACACGTTCCACTGTACAGGAGCTGACTGGGCCCGTTTCTTAACAAAGGTTAGCAGTTACCAGGCATATGTTACCAGATACTTTTTCTCCAGAGAAAGAAATCATAAGGCTCTTTTGTCTTGCAATATAAATAGGGCACAAAACCTTGCCTATCTGTAGGAAAGGGCATTTTGCTGCCAAATGCCACCTCAGAGTGGCCAAGGATACACAGCTGTCAGGCAGCCTATACGCTTCTTCAGTTACAGCAAATCGCACTACCTAGATCTCAACGTCTTTTTTTGTACTCTATACAATGGGGCATTGTGGGGATCCTGGTTTATTGGTAATTTTCATAAACATTCTAGAGACAAGGTGCGTGAGGTAATATCTTTTATTGGACCAATTTCTGTTGGTGAGAGAGACGAGATTTCGAGCTACAGTGTTTACCAGTAAAAGTGTGGGTTTTCTTTTTCTGACTACCAAACCTTTTAAGCTCAGCCTGGGGTCTGTAACCCAAGTTATGTTCTGTCTGGCTTATGTGTCATCATCACCAGTAAAGGTTATTCAGGCCAAATTTTGCCCTCAGTAAAACTATTACCTTCCATTGCTTCACATGAGAGCCTCTGAAAAATGCAATATAAATGGTTAAACTGTTAGTATTGTGCTGCAGCACCTAATACAGTGCAACTCAGTTTATCATTTATGATATTGAGAGAATAACATGTATTACTAGTGACCCATGAAACTGTCTTGCCGGTGTTTTAATTTTGGGCTTCTATTCTCTGTGATCTTTATAATCAACAGAGGGCTATGAGATGACTCACTCTTAAACAGCTGCTATTAATTCCACTAGAGGGCAGTGCTGCACATAGACACATGGTACAGGACAAATGCAAATTTAATATGTTGTCAGGTACAACAGATATTTGGACTTCTTGCCATCCTACGTGCTCAGTGGATGAGGAAGGCCTTGGCTTCTAACACCCGAAAAATGAATCCGATAATGCAAAGATAAGGAGTGCTGTTACATGTATTTGAGTATATCTATATCCACCAAAAATACAGTTTGCAAATAGGATATTTCTTTTAGTACAACAACAAAGCTAACACCGACTCTTCATTTTTCTAGAAAATTTGTTTGCCTAAATGACAACATTGATCACAATCATAAGGATGCTCAGACAGTGAAAGCAGTGCTTAGGGATTTTTATGAATCAATGTTTCCCATACCATCTCAGTTTGAACTGCCAAGAGAATATCGGAACCGCTTCCTTCATATGCATGAGCTTCAGGAATGGTAAATTTTACAGATTCTTCTTCCACATTCTGTGTGAGCTATTGTGTTGTATCAGCATCTAACTCAATGTGTGGAGCAGCTGCTGAGGGGTGAGTGCTGGACAGGCTCTGCAACTGCCTCCCCAGGGCCTTCCACACTGCTGCTCTCCTCCAAGTCCCCCTCCACAGGCCTCACATGTGACCCTTTAGCACATTCTGACAACCCAGTGTTGAAAAACACTGGGTTTAGAGCATGATGAAATGTTGTTAGAAGTCCGGTTTTAGCTACAATTGAGTTTAAACCATGTTTAAACACAGTGGCCTTACATTTGAAACTATATACTGTGGAGTGGGCCCAAGAGCTGTTCCAGCATGCTACTAAAGCACTTAGCTGGAACCAAAGAGAGGTATGATAAATATGTGCAGACCTTATGATGTACCTTACAAAAAAGCATTTTGCTTTTTAAACCAAGTTATATAGGGGTAAATTGCTACATTACAGTGGATATTTTTTCCTCTTTATCTGGATATTTTTACTCCATGGAATGTTAGGAACTTTACAATATGTCAGTGCAAAGGTACAAACGTTAATATATAAAACTCTGTTTCCATCTTTGTACAGGAGAGCATACAGAGACAAGCTCAAATTTTGGACCCATTGTGTTTTAGTGACATTGATTGTGTTTACGGTCATCTCATTTTTTGCTGAACAGGTAAAAGTTATAATTTCATCCAAATACCCAACTTTAGTAGTATACAGTGTCATCTCCATAAAATGAATTAATTTTTTAGGGGTTTTGAGCAATAGCTGAAGTACTGTTTCGTGGCATATGAAATACATGTAGTAAAGAAGTTTTGGAACAATAAAGGAAGGAAGACACCATGACCAAAGTTTTCAGAAGTGATTCGTGATTATGGGGTGCCTCATTTTTCAGGTGACTTACTTGCGATTCCTTAAAGGATCCTGACTTTCAAAGAGTGAGTGCTGAGGACCTTTTGAAAATCAGGTCCATTTAAGGTGTGTCAGTTTGGGTCCTCAAAATACCAGTCACTTTTGGAAATCCTAGCCTGTAAATATAGCTATCAGTCAAAAGCAAAGTAAGATAACACTAGGAAAAATTGAAAAAAATATTAATCAGCTGGTCCAAACAGTATCCAACTTAGGGCAGAAAGCATCTGATCCAAAGCCCACTGAAGAAGTCATTAGAAAGACTCCTGTTAATTTCAGTGGACTTTGGATTAGGCCCCAAAAGAAAAAGTCTCCAGTTCTGTAAACCCTGAGGCATGAGAATTATTTTATGCACATGGGTAGTCCTTTTGAACTCCAAAATAGTCAGTGGAACTAATCACATATTTTTGTTTGCAGGATCAGGGCCCTAGATAACAAACTTATCACTGAAAATTATGTTTGCCTGTTATGTTTCCTGTTGATAAACCTTATTTCCATTGTAGTGTTTGTATTTGATGGAAAAAAATAATTGAACCATGCTGTAGTCCAATTTCTTTTCCTGTGTATCTGTTCTATGTTAATCTTGTTCACTCTTTCCATGATCTGATGAGGAGAGTGTGATTCTTGAAAAGTTGCCCATTAATATTTTTATTTAGTCCTATAAAAAATGTCATCTACGGCACTTGTGTGTGCTGCCCCTCCCCAACACTCCCAGTTTGTAGCTTTTTAGCTACTGGAAACTCCTGCTGTATAAAAACTTTGCTTAGAAGGTATAATAAATTGATTTAGTGCAAGGACTAAAGCTCTTAATTTTATATTTAAGAACAGACAGATTTGTGGTAATCCTCTTGTAATTAATTGTGCCCAGTTATTTTATTAAGCTAGTTAAAATATGCACTTTCAGATTTAGTATATTTATCAGTCTTGGAAATAATCACTCACTGTATTGTTCCAGTGTTCTTGACCCAGACATTGACAAATCTAATAGCGACACCTAAGCCTAAAAGAAGAGAGTTTGAGTAATTGCTCCCTTCCTCTTGTGTTGTGAAACAATTGAGGGTATAGTCTTTTATACTTGATTGCTATGAAATGGTCAAGGTTGTATGGGGTTTGTGGGAAGAAAGTTTGATGACCTGTTCCCCTTTGATGCTTGGGAGAACTAAATATTAATTTTTTTTTAATCTTTCAGCTAATTGCACTTAAACGAAAACTTTTTCCGAGGAGGAGGATCCAAAAGGAAGTCGGTCATGAACGAATCAAGGTTTAGAAGATCTTTGCTTGGAAATCAGTCTACCTCAAGATGTAATAAGCATTTAAAATTGTTATTGGAGAAGTGTCTTTATGATGTAACATTTAGCTAGTTTGACATGAAGAAAAAAAGTCAAATTATCTATAAATTATAGCCTTCATGGCGCTGTGTGTAACACGCAAGCTCCTGACGTTATGAGACGGGGGGGGGGGGGGAGTTAGGAGTGTGCATTGGCAGTTCTCAACTGGTTTTACTTTACAAGCATTAGCTCACGGATATGTTATCCTTTTTATAAAAAGGGTTACTGAAACAAACCTAGCTGCATTTAAAGCAGTGGACGTTGCCAGCTAAGTATAATGTTGGAAAGTTAAACTGTTCAGGATTAACTAGAAAGATGTCCCTGACTTTGCATTCCAAAGCATTTTGCAGATTGCTGAATTAATCAATATATTTGTGTTGATGCTGCTTTTCCATTTTTAGAAGTAAAACAGAGGATAATTGCTTAATTTCCCAATTAGATATAGTCTACATTTAATGACATTTACATTGTTTAAATACACCAACAATGCAACCTCAAATTGGTGGTATCTAATGAGGAATTTGGATGATATATATCCTAATGATATAATCAAGAATCAAACTACCGGTACTATTATTTTAAATATTTTATTTCTCACCTAATTCATTAAATTGCCAGGAATACTGTGGTATTGTTTGTAGGCCTAATTACAAAGAGAGAGAGCTACAGTCAAGTAAAAGTAACTAGGATGTTGTTATTTTACAAGCATTGTAAATATACAAGCAAAAGTGCCTCACCATAAGAATGAGTAATATATTGTTTTAATGTTGCATTGTATTAGAGCGATGTTTCATTTCTGAATTTGGTAATTCTATTCTCATATGAAGCATTAATGTTTTAAAATTTGGACAGGCACAGGCAATCCTGTCATACTTTGTTAAGACAGGTGTCAGGGTAGCAAGATTTTTAAGGGGGAGACAATACTGAGACTCTTTTCAAGCAGATATTTTTGACAGAGTACTTTCAATCATAGTTATTAACAGTAATCTTCTAAAATCACTTCACTAATTATTTTGTAATTGGAATATGCGGTATACAATACATTGTGTTCTGTAAGATATTCAGTTTGTTTTAAAAGAAACTAAAGTCTTGTGATAAACAATGAAGTTATTTTGGTTTATTCGGTTTTTGCTCCAGAGGAAAAGAAAATACATCCAATTTAGTAAATTACTCACACCTATTATTTCTGTAGACTTTGCTTGTCATTAGAAATAGTCAAAGGTAGCTCTAATTTGTTTTCACATTATCCAGTGCATACACAGATTGTTAAACCAAATAGAATCTAATTTTTAAACATTTTAAAATATAAGCATTTGTATTTTTCTTTTTAGTATTTCATACTAGAAGACCCCAGATATATTTAATATACTGTGACACATTAAAGTAAACACATAGCATATAAAATAAGCAGTTTATATCTGCCCTACTTTCAGTTGTCGAAGTCTTCTATTTTGGCAGAAATGTCAAGGATGGTAGAATACTTCAACAAATGAAATTACAGGAAAGCCAGGATGAAATAAAGTTAGATTTTTAAAACTTTTTATTTCAAAAAGACACTCACTCTCAAGTAGATTAAGTCCAAAATTTGATCTACTTTAAAATTGTTTTAGTATTCTGCATCGTATTTTTTTTAAAGTACTTGAGTACAAGAAATTATTAAAGAAAAATAACTACAGGGCCAGTTTTTCAAAACTTTTGGCTAAGTTACATGTGCAAATCATGAATTTCCATATACAGAATGCCTGTTCATTTGTGCAGTTTAAGCAAACAGTTTTGAAAACTAGGTTCATATTATTTTGTTTTATTGCACCAATAGCCAACTAGCCAGCAGACAGAGCATAAATTAACTGACAACATTTATTTCTAGATCTGTGTCAATGTCTGTGATAGTGATATCAAAAAGAAGGAAAGCAAGCAGAGCTGAAAAAAATTGGGTGTAGGAGGAAAATATTACCCCAATATTTGGTAAATTGGAAAGGACAAAACTAGTGAAGTAAAATATTTCCAGTCTTCTATGAGGTTAAAGAGCAGAGAGTAGAAATCAAATGATAAATAAAAAGTTCTTGACAATATATTTTATCTTTTAGCTCACTTTTTAGAATTTTTTACGTAATTGTAATGTAGTTAGATAAAATAATTGGGAGAGATGAAAACTTTATTAAGACCATATTCTGACGAAGAAGCATATAGATTCACTACATGATTTGATAGAAATAAAATCTTAAATTACTTTCTCTTTCTGGAATTTTCTGTGCAATATGGTTGTTACGAGCAATATGATTGTTCTGTGCCATATGATGATCACCACTTCATAAATCAGGATATCAGAAATATGCTACCACTATAATGTCTGCCAGCAGCTGACAGCTTACTCATATCATTTTTGCCACAAAAGTCATATCTTGTCATCTTATTTTAAAAATATTTACTTTTGAAGTGACCTGTTTCAAATACAATAGCTCTTAAAATCAAAGGAAAATGTTATGCTGAAATTAGCATGTGAATCAATATTACAGTCCCGAGAGAAAGGACTTTCAAAACCCTGCTACATTTAAAGCTTTGGATCCTCTTAATTGCATCACTTTCTTCTGTAGTAAAATTAGTGAATATCACCTGTTGAAGATCACTTTTCCTGTAACTAAAAAGATTGTCTCTAGCATTTGATCCATAAATAGTAAAATGCATGTCATAACCGTCTAGCTCGTTTTTTTTTTGCTATTGTCCATAACTTTATCAGCAAGGAGTCACTTGAGGCAACAAATCTTCAGATATGAGACGTCAAACAATTTTACCATGAACATTAACGTAACATTTGCTAGCATAAAGCTAAAAATTGACTGCACAATAGGCTATTAAGGCCTCAGTCCAGCAAGGAGCTCTGTGTGAGTGAACCCTTGCATCCGCACAAATGTCCTTACAGAACTAGGATAGATACCATTTCAATATATTCAGATAGGCTGTCTTTGTGAGTGCCTTTGGAATAGAGCAGGTAAATTATTAGTAAAATTGAAAAATTATCTATAAATAAATCACATTTTAAAAACTTTGTTTACATTTAAAATGTTTTGATAGTGTCAGCTTTTTTCCTTAGTCACCATTAGCAAAGTATTAATAAATTTAACATTTTATTACCTAGTGTCTCAAGGGGCCTTTTTTTAGGGCCTGTTTCAAAGCCCAATAAGTTACTGGAAGCCTTTGAATTGTCTTGAGAGAGCTTTGGATCAGGCTCTAAGGCCCTGATTCAGCAAGATATTTGAGCACAGGAATAATCACATTGAAGTCAAGGGACTGCTCATATGCAAACATGCAGGTGTTTAACTACCTTCCTAAATTGGGTCCTGCGTGTTTCCATTAGAAACCACATTTACGGAAGTGAGATGTTAAAGTATTAAATAAGGAAGAAATATTAAATAGGTTCAGGTAGATTTTCAAATACCTTTTGTAAAATCATTGTTAAAATGATTATGCTAGTTTTGAATCAGTTTGAAAACTATAGAAATATCACTTTATAGATACCTTTTTTCCTAAATGTTAATCCAAAAATGGATTTTTTTGCAAAGAATGCCACTGACTAGAAACAAGATAATACAGCTCATTTTCTTCTTTCTTTCATGAGTCTTTAGATATTTAACATAGTCACTGTTTTAGAACTGTTAACTTGAAGATTGTCAGGCTTTCTAAAATATGTCTTTACCCTAAAAGGAACTAAATTTGTGCAAGAGCACTCTCTTATTTGATGTCACCAGTAAAAAGACACTGGAACCAGGAAAATTCTCATTATTTAGTAAATTGTAGAGCTTGTTAGAGGATGTGAACCTGTCTTGAAGAATGTATGGATTGCTGAAAGGGCTGAATCTTCAGGCTTTTATATACTGTGAACTTGATGGGCATAGCACAGAATACTCTGCAGTAGCTATTCCAGAATAACTCCCGGTGTAGACAAGGTCTTAATCTTCCAAAGAATATGCATCTGTAAAAAAAAAAAAATGTTAGCAGTGTTTTTGGACTTAGAGAAACTCGTGCCATGCAGCGACCTCCACAAATGTGTTTTTGACAGTTCCCTTTGTAAAAATCGCATCATCCTTCTTCCTGTTAGTTTTACTGTGATTTCCAAGTTTTCAGTGGTCTGAATAACTAAAATCCCATTTTTGCACATGGTTGATCTTCAACTACTTACATGCTTATTTTTATTCATTTCTAATTCAAGCTATTACAAAATCAATTATGCATGGGTGCATTGTACAATAAAACATTTCTGGGTGTTGATTAGTGTCTACTAGTGTATTGTCTTGTTCTATCTTTGCTTGGTGTGTCTTTTCTGGACCTTCAAGGAAAGGAGTCTATCTTTTCTATTAATTTATATTTACCACTTCTGAAATTCAGCCAGCTTTTAGATTGATGGTGGCAAACATCCATTGCCCAGCACAATGTACAGCAGTGGCAGAAGGCAAATATTGGTCAGACACTTTTGTGAAAAATGCCTGGGGATATTTAATATCCATGTAAAGCAGAAACACACTGTGGAGGATAATGAAGGTGGGTTTGGTCCCTGTGTGTAAAATGTATGTGGATACATGGGAGGGTGGGTGAATACATATGAATGAAGAAGTGGATGCATAGGTGCTTGGAGATGAGAGCTTGCGGTGAGTGAAAGGGTCTTGTGGTGTTGGGGTGGCTGGATGTAGATACCCATAGGGAGACACACACATTGACCAGGAGCTGGTGAAGGTGAATCAGACTGGATTTGGGGGCTATTCCGTCCCTTTACCCAGGTTCTATGAGTGAGTCAATGTCCTGGAGCACACAGGTGGGGGAGGAAAAGCACCAGGATTCACCTTTTGGGGGAAGAGGGAGAAGTGACTGGCTATGGGAGACAAAACTATATTGTGAAAGTTCCCATAAGCACTGAAGTGAGTGTGGCCCAGTGGGGGTTGAGGGGAGACCAGGTTTCTGTGCTAGGGCAGGGAAGGCACT